TATTAAATGTGCTTCCAAGTTTCCCTGCAAGAGTAAATGGGCTGAAATTGGCCGTGAAATTCAATTACCGCAAAACTCGTCGGTTAATGGTTTGTCACTATAAATTTACAGCGAAAGTAGCAAAATAGTTTCGAAAATACGGTATACTTCAGAATGTTTTTTTTTTCTGTTGCTGGATCTTTGTTTGTATACAATTGTTTATCAGCCTGGCTCAACTTACTCTAAAGCAATGAAATTATAGATTGTCATCTCAATGGGTTTGCTGTTTTCACTGGTTGCCTGGCATGTGACCAATTTCTTCACAGCTGGTTCCAGTTTGAAGTTTCATTTTCAGTAGACAGAAATATATAACCCGTTTGCACTGAATTAAAAATAACATAATGCTCGGTTCTATCATTCTGCTAGACATTGAAAAGCTTTATTCTGTGCTATTTAAAATTTTTGTGTCATGCAAGTCTCTTTACACAGTAAGTCTCTTTATGCGGAACTCTGCCTGCATGGTTTGCTAACATAACAGCACATTTTGTTTTTTCATTCATGGTAATCAAAAAAGAGGAGAATTAAAAAACTCTTGCGAGTTTGTTTTTGCTAGAAACCTATAGACACTGGTAACTATGGAATACATGAATATAAATTTTCTAATACTGTCTTTTTATGTAAACAGTAAAACATTACAAAAACTGATTCATCCATTGATCAATGGCATCAAAATATGATTAAGTGAACTATACAATGATCTCCTGTAGACAACTAAATGGTACTGATTTTGTGTTTCAAATTGTAGGAAAATGCATCTCTGCAAGCCCAGGATTTCATGTTTTTTCGGGGTGCAAACCCCCGGACCCCCTAACTTGCATTTTTTCTGCCTGGTTGTTATGCCCTGATGCCCATTTGCACAAAAACTTATTGAAACACCTGAACTAGTTACATTGTTGAAACAGTTTTAAAATACTGTTTTACCAATTCTCATTGAATGTCATTCACTCGACCTGACTCTAATTCCTACTCGAGGCAATCAGATCCATCTGTTAGGCAGAAAATGTGTCAGCAGAACAAAAACCCACCCTTGTGCACACCAGTCCGACATTTTACATCCTTAAGGTGGCTTACTACAGTTTTGATCGATTATAGCAGCCCAACTTCTAACTCTTTTGAAAAATGTCCCAGATGTTTTTTCTTTCTCTATTTACTGTTTACTTAAATCTTTTACCATTCTATGTGAAACTTGAACAATAAAACGTCAACAAATGGCCAAAATGAACGATCGAGTACCTAAGAAGAGACTGGGCACTAGTAGGTTAAATCATGTTTTTCTCAAATCTACCCATATGACCCACCTCAAAATTTCAGGAGTAAGAAATTGGCTCTGATTTAACATTCAGGCAAAGTAAAATCAAAATCTGTTATAATCCATCAAAACTGTAGTAAGCCACCTATGATTCCAATGATTTAAATTACTGCACTATGTTCTCTCGTCTAAATATATATATTGCTCATTTCTTCTTTTCAACATTTTTCACTCATTTCTTCTTTTCCTGATAAAAATTTTAGATGGAGGGAAAAGCATATTCACACAAAGTAGACATTTTTTCTCTTGGACTGATCTTTTTTGAACTGTTTTGTCCATTTGGTACACAAATGGAGAGGATAAAGGTGAGAAGATGAACTAGAGACTAGAGAACTAGAGATCATTGCTCTGTGTTGATTTTTTTTATTTTTTTCTTCGGTCATTAGTATCAAATTCTGTGTGAATCCTTTGTTATTAATAAGAGATGGGAACATCACTCGAAGTGAGAGTTGAGCTGGAGAGATAAAGGGTTGTAACAGTATTTTGCCCCAATGGGGCCAGAACGAGGTGTAACCAGGAGGGAAAAGATAAGAAAGTTCTTGGCGACATGGGATACCTATGGACTGGATTGGAGCCCTGCCTGAAGAACGGGATTGTGATGGGTGGGTTGCTATTTGCCCTTTCTTGGTCAAACTTGGAAAAGATGCTTTACTGATATCACAAACATATTAATTTTAATCTCACAGGAACCAATAAAGAAGTGAGACATCTCTAGCGTGTTACATCAGTAACAGTGAATGTATTTGGGTTGTCAAATACGTTGAATTTGAACAGAATATGAATATTCGAATGATTTTGAATAGTGAAATGTGTACATGACTGTAGTTTAGACTTACAATGTTTTTGTTACCTTTAAGGTCATGTGTGATGTTAAACAAAGAGTCATCCCAAGTAACTTTGAAGCAAAGATGCCACTACAGGTGTGTTCTAGATACATGTAGGCCTTGCAATGAACCATGGAAAACAAGGTTATTCAGCCCTAAGTTTTAGAAAAGAGATTCAGTGTGGCCAATGTATGTGAAAGCAGTTGCACTAGTATCCTTTTTCTACAAAGGGTACTTACATGGATTACAGTGTATGAAAGTGTTCACCTTTTCTGTCAAAAATTATATATAAAAGGATTAGGGTTTGGATCTCAGGGGAGCTTCTCTGAGATTGTTGTTTGTACTGAAACCATCACTTTTTTTATTTTCTTGCAGTCAAAACTGGTTCAATGGCTTTTGTCATCCACTCCAAAGGCAAGACCAAATGCCACAGAAGTTAAGAACAGTGACCTTCTAAAACAAATTAGTTTAAAGATATCTGAAAATACCATTCCCAAAAGTTAGCCAAAAGATTGTGCTCTCAAATTTTCAAATGGCATCAAGAGAGGAAAGATGCATCACGAGAGATGGGTGGTGAAATTCCTTTTTTTAAGCAGGCATACGTGGGTTATTACTGTGGAGTGTCAAAATAGGGACTTGTATTGTAAGAGGTACAAAGGACTGTGACTCTGTGTAGTCCTGAGCATTCACTGTTCCGCCAAAGAGCTTGTGGCTGGGTTCTGCTAGGAGTAATGTTTTCAATTTGAAAACTAGATTTACAAATGTTTTAATGAATTAATGATATTTCATGTATTATCTTACTAGGAATGCTTTTTAGATGACAATCTTTTTATTATGTGGCAGTGGCTACTTATTGGAGTATTAGTGTTGTGGGCTTTACAAGTCAGAATTCCCCTTTTATTACTGGTATTTGTTGTTCACTATAGAGGTGGTATAATATATGTGAACCATATTTTTCTATTTTAAAACGAGACTGTAGATATTGGTGTATATAAAACATGTGTTATTTATTAAAAATGGAATAAAAGTGTACAAATCTGATATTTCATCTCATGCATGCGTGTGCATTCTAAAAAGTGTCAGAGGATTTTTAGTAATCAGAGATTTAGCAATACAAGCATCCACTAGATAATTGAACAAAAATTGCTTGAAGTCTGTAAATTTATATAAGGAAGGTACTAATTCTTCCTCTTGGAGTTAAGAACTAAAAGTAAAATAGCCTCCATTTTAGATTGAAACAGTTCACTGTAAATCCTATTTTGCTAGCAAGAAGGCTAGAAGTGGAAACAGCTGCCCGCCTAGTTTATCAAAGATCATACAATGTTATAAAATCATTTAAAAATAATAATAATAATATCCCATTGCCAAATTCTTATCCAATAAATATGTTTTCTCAGTTTATATTGAAAGAATGCGATATCCTATTGTAAGGAAAAAAAAAACACTTGTTATACTTGTCTGTTCTTTGAACAAAAGCTTCTATAATAGAACTTCTGTAGAACATAATACCCTCAGTACTAAATTAGATTGCTCAATATAATATTTAAGTCTACTGAAGCATGCCTTTGATCAGCTGTGATCTCGTCAGCAATCCTCTGGTGATGAAGTTTCCATTGTTTTTATACAGCTTTCACATTGTTCTACAGCGTTGCTTAGGGTGTCCACCATTTCTGGACTGAACATGGTGACTACATCAACATTTAACAGATGGCAACGTACTGTTAAGGAAAATGGAAAAGATTACTACTTAACTTAACAATCCTTCAGTTAGACTGCTTGGTACTAACCACTTGCTGTTGTTACTGTGTCCTTAATGGATGCCAGGGTCTTCTCAATCTCTCCCATCCTAGTTGTCATGTTTTCGTATGTGTCAGGACACCCTGATAATAACATAATTTTCACGGTTACTGAAACATGAATATCAACTGAGGTAAAACTATAAATGTTCACAGAGAAATTATCTTAATGTACACCAAGTTCAAACCCCATTGAACAGAGTTAATATGTATTCAGGTGACCTGACACTTGGCAACCCCTACACAAATCACCAAAATGATTAAGTTAGTGTGTTAATACGGCAAGAGTTAAAATCACTTACCACTGCTATCACTTGTGTCACTTCGGCCATTATTGTTCAAGGTAATGTCCTAAGTGTGCAAATTTCATATAATTTTATATAATTTTAATGTAATCACACTAAGGATTTGAATGTTTGGTTTCATTTTTTGTTTTCCCAAATACTAATTGATATTTCTGGTGAATATTCTGGACTATATAGGCTATTACACCTGAGAAGATGTTTTTGTACGAGGCAAAATGTTTACGTCTGAAGAGTTCACTTTCTAAAAAGCGTACACTTTCCTTCCTTGAAGAAAAATGTCAGTGTCTTGCCCTCAGTCCCAACCATTAGGAGAATGTGGCGTTTAGGTACATGTGGAGGGTGAAGAAAGTGCTACTAAACTGCTTTGTCTAATTCAGCCTTTCTGATCCAAAGAGGTGCCTGTGTTTTGGATGTCAAGTTTTGGATGGATTCTTATACTAAGATTTTCAGTACTTCAATGCTGGTTTCCTCCCCAAATATATCACTGGCTGATATGTAACTAAAACCAATTGATCACGATACCTAAAGACCTTTAGGAAGTTTAAAACCGACTCGGGGAGAATTTTCAGTGAAGTCTGAAGTCCTCTATAACGAAACATGTGCCAGTTCTGGTGAAAATTTTACTTCTGTTTAGATCCCTTTGTTAAAAGCTGTTATAGTATGTAGATACTGTGGGTACATTTGGGAAGAAACCCCAGCTTTGGATTAGTTAAAATGTTTAGTCCAAGAATGTAGCTAATCAAGTCATCTGTCTGCAGAGCTACCATTTCCTTGTGTCAAGGCCCCGCCTGCAGCTAAAAGGAGCTCCCTGGGAACGGGAATGTCATTAGCTAAAGACAGAAAATTTGAAGTGCTTACATGCCACAGTGGTGGTGGTGATCCGGTGTTATTACTGTAGGTTTGTGTGGTGCTACTAAAGGAATAGAGACATTCTTTCAGCTTATATTGAAAAAAGTATATTTTCTCTAAGCTAATTACGGTCTACAAACGAAATGCTAATAAACGGCCAGCGACCATATAGAACGAAGTTGAGGAACAATTTCTAACAAAAATTTTTTCCATAACTAGATCGAATACACTATTTCTTTTACGTTTTTCACTGTATTGTATTTAATACAGGTGTTTGTTGGAGACATAGGCTTACCCTAGTCAAAACAAATGCTTGAAAATGATTTCTCTGTTACATTAACCAGAAAAACTCGACATTTCCTGAACACCTTTGTTCAAGACAGTATCGTTGAAATAGATTTTTTTGAATAGTTTATTAAGGTCCCCAACGTCAAATGTTTATCAAGATATTACCACGAATCTTCTTTGGCATCCAGCTGGTTTGGGACAAAGTCTGTCTCGCTTCGTACAGCTTGATCAGAAACCTGACAACAAAACAAGCGACAAAATGTATTTTACTTTGCTAAAATGAAAGGATAAATTGGTGACATCTGTTCCTCGGAGGTAAATTTAATCTACTAAACACACGGCATCAAAATATTCAGAAACAACCTGCTTCGAATTGTGAATATTTAATGAAGAGGTTTAAAAACCTTGCCAAAATTATAGTTTTTCATTTTGAAGTGCTTGTCAATTTATGCATTTTCAAAGAAACGAATATTGATTATTGAAGCAATTTTGAATATGACTTAATTGTAAAATTGAGAGTTTTGTGTTAGTTTTCAGGAATACAGCATAAAAAGTTTGAAACTTGGGTAGAGAAATTTTCTTGGACGTCATCCTTAAGACAAATATTTTATTTAAAAATTCACAAGATGCAAGCTTATCGCTTCTGTATAATAAAACCGAAGCGTTAATAAGCATTTTCCTTGCCGTATTGTTTTAAGCTACATTATATGCTTTAACGTTTTCTGATGAACACACAAAATACTTTCCTCCTTAGAATGTACTGAGAAATAAGATCGCATACTATAATTAAGAGGAAGAAATTAAGATAAAAGCGCTTGTGTACCTGTGAACAGACACCTGTACCTAGAGGTCCGTAGTTCTCGCCGGTGTCATTCGTTTGCATATTTAGCGTAAATAAAATAAACTATAGTCCCGAGGACGAGTGTTACTAAAAAAATTGTTGATGCCAAAAGAAGCTTCAAGTGTGTTGGGAGCGGAGGTGTAAGCTGGTGAACAATTATTTGTCTCTCTATTCTCTCTCTTGAACATTGGACCTCTTCTATCAAAGTTTCGCCCATCGTAAACGTTTCGCCAGTCGCACGCGTTGCAAGCGCGGGAAAAATGCTGACAAATCATAACAACTCCGTTCATTGGACAATCCAATCCTCTTCTGACTCTATTCAAATAAGCTAAGTTTTCATTGGTTATGTCGAAAAGGTTAACACAGCGACT